TTCAGGAAATAGACATGCAAAGTAATCTTATTTTCGACAAATCAAATATCTATCCAGGGCTCAGTAAATTATAAAAGAGAAATAAACCACACCCATCAAAGAAAGAATCTAAAAAATTACCGGACTCAAAATGGACTCGGGACTTGGACTCGGTCCTTAATGTCAAGGACTCGGACTTGGCCCGGACTCGGTATTCCTCGGACTCGCCCATGCCTGTTAAAAACACAGATCTTGACTGAGAAGAATACGGTTTTTCAAGAACCAGTCAAAATGAGAAATGTCCGTTTATCTCCAATTTGCAGATCAGACCAGCGTTCAGACAGTTTGAAACGCACATCAACTTACTTGAGGCGATTCCAGCTTTCAGAACCTGTGCCCGAGAGTCTTCACAAAACGTTAGTCAAAAATTTGAAAATTAGCATACAAATAGCCAAAAAATGAGTTTTCCAAAAATTAAAGTGCTTCTGGCTTCTAAGATAAAGCTTGTAGCAATAAGAAACTTTCTAGGTGCAATCAGTTTTCAATGCTCTTTTTATGATACTAAAACGAGCTTTCTAGAAAAGAGCAATTTTTGGAAAATCATGTTTTCCCAAAAAGGCCTGAAAATTCAGGGAAATCCAACCTGTTTAGCACTACGAGAAAGAGCATAAAAATCTGAGTAGAATGGTGTATCGTTTATGGCACTAACGCTTTCGTTCGCGGAACTGTGAGCGATAACTTAGAATAAAAATCCTATCGTTCAATTCTGTTAAACTTAGGTACTGGAAAATCATATTTAATGAGTAAATTATCGAAAAAAATTGGGATTGCAATGTTAGCACCAGCACTAGCTGCCGGTAACCTCGAACGTTCATATGTCGGTCAGTTCGAAGCGCTTATATCAAGTCTATGTAGACGTGCAAATCGTCTCCCACATTTAATCTGTTGTCTTTCGATTGATGAAGTTGACTCACTAGCTCCGAGACGTGACGAAAAATCTTCAGAAGGAAAAGTGTCAAAAATCAGTGTCCTTCTAAGTGTACTTGAAGGTGCTGAAAATATTCCGAATCTAATGTTATTCTCAGCAACAAATCTGTTACATCGAATGGATGAAGCATTTCTACGTCGTATGACTGGAAAATTTTTTGTCGGCCGCCCTTCATCCGAATCAAGAAAGAAGATTTTAAGTAAAATTCCAAAAACAATACTATCGCCAAAAGTTTTGGAAGTGCTAGTAGTTGCTACAACAAATTTTAGTGGCTCAGCTTTATCGTAAGTTTAAGATGAACGAACTTTACATAGAAAAGTTCTAACTTCGTAACTTTCTTTTCTAGTCGTCTTGTTAGTAAAATTACAACGGAGCATCGCTGTAAAAGACGTCTAAATCCAAACTATGAAATAACAGAAGAATTGGCATTGATTCTAGCAGATACAACAGCTATTAATTTTCAGTTAAAAATGGGTCTCGATACTCTACCACGACTGCAGTTGCGCAATTTATACGATAGAAAACAGCTGCAAAATTCGAGACTGGCCACTACTATTACAAATCAGAAAGATGAAGTTAATAATTTGGATGCATTGCATCTACCGAAAAATATAATATTCACCGGTAAAATTATAATTAATCTACATGATCGTTGTGTACGGATTGAAGCTATAAATATTGATACCAATCGAAAATATGTGATTCAAGAAGACTTTCGTGATACAGAGCAAAGTTTACAACAGCTACTTGAACGTGTAACAACATATGGAACAGATAGAAACGTGCAACTTTTACAATTGATCGACTTAAACCTGCTCTCATCGAAAGGTGCTAATGATGAACAAAAAGTATCGGAAATACTAAAAGAATGCTACGATGAATCAGTCTCTTATCGTCGTTCAATGATCGTCTACGATCTTGATTCACTTATCGGTGTCAACAGATCTGAATCCGACAGTTCAACGGGTGTATCTGAGAGTACATCTGTTGTCAATCAACGTATCTATCTCTATGTTACAACTCGTTTCAGAGAAGCTAAAATTGAGAATAGTAACACAGACACAAATTTAAGAACTGAGCGTTGGGCAATAGCAATTGTACGAGATCCGTTTCTCTTGAAAAAGTTTACGAATGAGATTGGATTTACTCTGACAGATGCACAGCAAGAAGATGAAGAAGAAGAACATAGAAAAGCAACAGAAACATTAGCATGCGTAAAATGTCGCGATTACTATATTGAAAGCGAAAATAAAATGGGACAGTGTACATATCATGACGGATTCGTTTACGACAATTCAAATTTACATTTAACAAAATATCGTCCTGGTGACGCTTTAGAAGCATTAAATCGCGACGAATTTCTAGTTTTAAATGAACAAATGCCAAAAGAGGAAATGGAACAGCGTAAAACACGTATGAAATATATTTGTTGTGGTGCTATACTTCAAACTATGACAACCAAACTATCACCACCTCACCAACAAATATTGTTGAAAGGGGCTTGAGTCACGTGAGAGATTCATCTAAACAAAAGCGAGTTCACGATGCTCAAGCGAAAGTTAGTGCATGTGAAATACAAAAAAGATCAAAGGAAACTAACCATCAAACGAAAGTAACTGCACATAAAAATGCTTGCACAAATACTGCAACATGTCGTACTACCTTACAACAAACTCGTGCAGTACTTCACCAGAAAAAAAGTGAACTTGAAACTCAAAAACACCATGTAATTGCTAAGAAAAAGACGGTTGAACAACAAAAAACAGTGGTAATGACGACTAAGAATGAACATGAAAGCTTAAAAGAAGGTTGTATAGAAATGCAGAAAAAAGTGACGGATAAAGAAAAAGCAAACAAAATTGAGAAATCTCAATTCGATCAGCAGAAAAAAATATGTGGAAATCTGCAAGGGGATATCAATCAACTTGATACAAAGGTGAAGGATTTGGGTCAACATATACTGAGTCATGATCAACTGATTAAACAAAACCAAGATGCATTACGACAAATTGAAAATCAATCAACCAATCAACAAGCTCAACTTGGACAACAGAAAAATCAACAAACAGCAAAAACACAAGAATGCGACAAAAAAATTGCTGAAGTTCAACAACAAGAAGCATTTATACGAACTAAACAATGTGAAATAACAGAATTGGAAAATCGTTTGCAAAATGTTCAAACGAATATCGATATGTTGAACAAATCTGTTCCTGAACTTGAAAATGAATTAGCTGAACAAGATCGAAAACTATACGATGCTCAAAAAGCAATGCAAAAACTTGAAGCTGAACACTCCAAACTTGAATCAAGTATAGCAGAGAAAGAACGAGAGAGACAACAAACTGAACGAAATATTACAACACTTAATCGAGATATGAATAAACAACGTACAATATTTACTGAAAAGGAACGCGCTAGAGGAAGTATAGAAGCTGAAATCAATGGTAAAAATTCTGATCTGTCAGCGAAACAAGAACAAAAACTTGCCCGTGAGAGCCAACTACGTGCTGTTGAAGATCAACTTCTTACTAATAAGCAAGCACTTAAAAAGACTGACAATAAAATGCGTGATGCGGAAAAAGAAATACATAATCAAACTGCTTTACAACAACAAACAAAACACCGTTTCGATGAAGTAACATCACAATTAAGTAATACCCAACGTGAACTCGATCGATTAACTCAACCAAAAAATGATAAAAAAAAAAAAACGCCAGGCGTTAGCAACACTCGATCGTTCGAAACAGGAATTGCAAGTTGATCAAGCAAAAATGGTTCAAGCACAAAATATCGTAGATCGACTTAAACAAGAGTTATGTGCACTTCAAGATACAATACGCAACATAGAAAGAGAAATTCAGAAACTCAACGAAAAAAAACATAAATTGGAGTGAGTTGTTTTAATAGCATAATAATATTGAACTGTAATTTATTTTACAGGGGGCAATTACAGACTCAAGAACATCGGCGTGCTCAAGTTTATAGAAAACGCGAAGAAACAAATGCTGAGCTCAATGATAGAAAAACTAAATTACAAAAAGCTGAACAACAACGAGATCAACTTCAACAGAGTGTTACACGATTGGAAAATGAACTCACAGATATTCGAGGCAAACTTTCTTCTCTTATCAAACAACGAGATCGATGTAATCAGCAGCTTGAGAATGAGAAGAAGAAACAAGAACAATTCGAGCAAGAACTAATAGAAGAGCAGAACAAACAACGAGAAGCTGAACAAGCTGTATATGAACAGGAGCAAAATGTCAGAAGTGATGAAACTGTTTTGCGACAAGCGGAAATGGAAGAAGCAGCTGCAAGAGCTGCCGAACAAGAAGCGCTAGTTGAATTAGAAAGAACACAAGTCGCTTTAGAAGATGCTCAAACTGAATTAGTTGCTGCTGAACGAGAGGCCAGGCCAACAAATATTGTTGAAAGGGGCTTGAGTCACGTGAGAGATTCATCTAAACAAAAGCGAGTTCACGATGCTCAAGCGAAAGTTAGTGCATGTGAAATACAAAAAAGATCAAAGGAAACTAACCATCAAACGAAAGTAACTGCACATAAAAATGCTTGCACAAATACTGCAACATGTCGTACTACCTTACAACAAACTCGTGCAGTACTTCACCAGAAAAAAAGTGAACTTGAAACTCAAAAACACCATGTAATTGCTAAGAAAAAGACGGTTGAACAACAAAAAACAGTGGTAATGACGACTAAGAATGAACATGAAAGCTTAAAAGAAGGTTGTATAGAAATGCAGAAAAAAGTGACGGATAAAGAAAAAGCAAACAAAATTGAGAAATCTCAATTCGATCAGCAGAAAAAAATATGTGGAAATCTGCAAGGGGATATCAATCAACTTGATACAAAGGTGAAGGATTTGGGTCAACATATACTGAGTCATGATCAACTGATTAAACAAAACCAAGATGCATTACGACAAATTGAAAATCAATCAACCAATCAACAAGCTCAACTTGGACAACAGAAAAATCAACAAACAGCAAAAACACAAGAATGCGACAAAAAAATTGCTGAAGTTCAACAACAAGAAGCATTTATACGAACTAAACAATGTGAAATAACAGAATTGGAAAATCGTTTGCAAAATGTTCAAACGAATATCGATATGTTGAACAAATCTGTTCCTGAACTTGAAAATGAATTAGCTGAACAAGATCGAAAACTATACGATGCTCAAAAAGCAATGCAAAAACTTGAAGCTGAACACTCCAAACTTGAATCAAGTATAGCAGAGAAAGAACGAGAGAGACAACAAACTGAACGAAATATTACAACACTTAATCGAGATATGAATAAACAACGTACAATATTTACTGAAAAGGAACGCGCTAGAGGAAGTATAGAAGCTGAAATCAATGGTAAAAATTCTGATCTGTCAGCGAAACAAGAACAAAAACTTGCCCGTGAGAGCCAACTACGTGCTGTTGAAGATCAACTTCTTACTAATAAGCAAGCACTTAAAAAGACTGACAATAAAATGCGTGATGCGGAAAAAGAAATACATAATCAAACTGCTTTACAACAACAAACAAAACACCGTTTCGATGAAGTAACATCACAATTAAGTAATACCCAACGTGAACTCGATCGATTAACTCAACCAAAAAATGATAAAAATACGATGTATGAAAGAAAAAACAAGCAGGAGATGATTTAAATGCTCAATATAACAGAAGCCGTGCAAAACAATTGGCTGCTGATCAGGAAATATTAAAACTAGAATCGACACTTGGAAGTCATCACGCAAAAATAGCTCGAAAGGGACGAAATATTTATAAGGTAAAACAATTGATTAATCAACAACAACCGATGGAAGCCCGCAATGTACATACTGTTGTACATTCAAATCAACGTTTTGAATCTCATGACAACCATGAGGATAACATGCATGTGCGAAATGATCAAAAGCATTATGCATACGTTTAATATGACATATATACCTACTTGATTTGTTTTTTTTGAACTTTTTGCATTTCTTAATTATTTGCTGTTCAACAATAAAACATGCTCTTATTCAAACGTTGGAAATAACATTGATAATGGTCGATCGAAAAGTTTTTCCACAAGATATCTCTTGATGATATACGACCTGTAAGGAAGTTTTTCGGACGGGTTAGAATTGAGGGTGAGGGTGAGGTGAGGTTGAGGGTGGGGTGAGGGTGTGAGTTTACAATAGAGAGTGATTCAAGCTGATTCATACGACATGTTTCGACTGTGGCTAAAGAGTCATCATCAGGTATGGGTGAGGGTGAGTATAGCTAGCCATGATCCAGATTTTGACTAGGGATGCACCAGTCCCAGTCTTTTACTGGTGGACTGGGTGCCAGTCATGACTGGGTCCCAGTCACGACTGTATCGATTCATGACACGAGCAGTGTCATTGACCATTCCAAAATGTTACTGGCATGACAGTATTGAAATAAAAGCTTAATATTGATCGGTTCTTGCTGCTCGATTAACTATGTTTTTAAGCGTTTTTAAGCGTTTTGCAACAATATGGAACACCAGTCGGACTGGAACTGGTGCATCCGTAATTTCGACCTTGCTTAAGGGTCTCGTCAGATGGCTTGACTCTGTCAGTACTCGCTAAGATGATCCTAAGATCACCAGCAGAATACCCTATTCTATTGACAATTCAAACAAGACTCCAAGGAATCAAGTTCAGATCGGATAGATATCGTTAAGACTGTGGTGAGTATAGCTAGCCATGATCCAGATTTCGACCTTCCTTAAGGGTCTCGTCAGATGGCTTGACTCTGTCTCCGATGTGTCCTAGCTGGACAATTCTATTCCGTTATCACGTGTTTATATATTGTTAAATGTCTGGTGAGAAAGAAGACGGTGAATGGCCCGTGTCACTGGATTCTAGCGCCGTCATCGATAGGTGTCACTGTTTGTCGGTATCCGTAGGCCTGTTTATTGGTTAAATCTACTCTTGGATTCCAATCAAGAATGTGAGTTTCAGGTTGAAAGTTCAATCGACTGCGATCTTTCGTGCTTCCAGTACCCTCTTTTTCGACTCCACTTTTTTCTATCATGTGTGTCTTTGTGTAGTGTGATGACTGTGTAACTATGTACTACAATCTTCATCATCCTTCTGGTTAGTATAAGATAATCGATGCTTGGCACACTCAATTGTCATGGATGATTGGAACCAACCATTGGATTTGGTCAGTGGAGTGCCTCAACATCAAGCTTTGAGAATGAAATAGCAAACGAACAAGGCCGTGGTCCAGACGTGACGCACAAGCAGTTAGTTGGATGGATGATTTCTTGGCCGTCATGGGATGCCGTCGATGATACTGTTTCGGATCAATTTTCCGAATTCGGATTAGTTAATGAAAGAATGAAATTCGGGATGGAAGTTATGATCGAAACTGTCTCGATCACGAGTACATGTGGTTTAGAAAGAAGTGTGTAGTCTAGTATAAACAAAATCTCACATCAAAATGATCCTCTGTCCAGCATTGACCTTTTTATTTGAAATAAAATACAGATTAGAAAATCTTTCTTTTAGGTGTTGTCTCGCCAACCCAGTGGTAAAATGAGATGTCCGTTGTTGATGCGATCGATGTTGTTATCAGTTAGGCAATCGATGGAACTCATGTGCTACTGCCACGGTATATCGAATCTTGCACTCCATGGTTACTAAGTGTGTGCAAAATGAATGCCATCTTTGAGACAATGAGGATACCACTAGTTCTCCTTCCATCTCGTAGCGTTAAGTGAACTCGCCCTTTTACCAGTCACTCTGACATAGCATTGTTCAATTTCGTTATGAATCTGATGATTGAGAGGTGCGTACGAAAAAGAGAACATTTATTCAAAATCTTCATCCGACTACAATCAATTTCGTTTTTTATGCGACTGGTTTGTGTTCCGGTTGATCAGGACTCTTGCGGACTAATTCTTTCTCGAGGTTGAGATTGTTTTTCGTCCCAACAATAAGCTTGGTATCCATCACCGGAGTGTTTTCGGAAGCTTGAATCCATCCTTGATGTATGCGTGACTTGTAGTGTTTGAATCGTATTTCATGTGTATGATGAACAATCAGTGGATAGACACTTGACTTGCGCTTGAGAAACTTCTGTTTCACTAACGGATCAGCGACCAGATTCGGAGAATCATGTTCGATTTGACTGGCAATTCGAGCTGCTCGTCCGTGCTCAGCCTTCGTCGGTTGAGCTAGTAACTGTTGACGCAACTGATGGAACTCATTTTCGTCATGGATCATTGGCACAATGGATGTTGACTGGATGGCATAGGTTCGAAAGAATTTGTGGAAGTGACTGTATATATACCGCACTGGGTACCTAGTAATAGGAATAGAGATAGGAGTAGAATGGCTGATTCGATGCAAATTTTACCCATTAAAGAGCAACATCATCTTGATTGCTCGTCGTTCGGGATTGAAGTCTTCCACTGTTGATGAGTAACGCACTGCTCGAAGAAGAGCTCCCGAATAATATTCGCAAACACATGACGTGGATGATCTGATTGAAATGGGACCACGTTTGGTTCAGCGGTTGGCTTGTGGTAAACGGATGTGATCAGATTATTCGAACGGTTTCGAATTTGTAGGTCAAGAAAAGACGTTGAACTGTCGACAGAATAATTTATTTTTATATTTTGGTGGAGTTGACCAGCATTGTCCAACAGTTGACGAAGTTTTTCGATGGGCTCATTCGAAGTTAAGAAGATATCATCGATATATCTACAACAGAATCGTCAAGTAGCATCCCCTTCACGAACAGCTCTTACCTTCTGTACAACTCGTTGGAATTTCTCTGATGATCAAGCAACTGTTGTTCCCAATGTCACATGAATCTGTTGCCCAACGTCAGTGTGAAAGGCGAGCCCATAGCTCCGCCAAGAACTTGTCGGTAGTATTGGTTGTTGTACACGAATACATTTTCCGTTAAAACCAGACGGGCTAAACTTTCAATTGCATCAAGAGTCATGCCACGAACGTGTGAATGACCATGCTTGACAAGGAAGTTCTTCACAATGCTGATGGATTCCTCTTGTGGCAGCATTGTGTAGAGATCTTTGATGTCGATTGTGCACAGATACGTGGTCGGTTTCAGAAGACCCAATTGAACATACTTTTCGAGACGGCGAATGAGATGAACACCATCGATGATAGTCGTTTGTGCAACATATTCATCGAACAAGGGTCGAATCAATCGATCTAACATGCTCGAAATGCCAGTAGTGGGCGCATGAATGGATGCAACGATGGGTCGCAACGGTCTACCTTCCTAGAAAAGAAGCGAAACTTCGTGAAAAAACGCACATCATACTGCCTCAAAACGTTACCTTGTGTGGTTTGGGAATGAAATACAAGTGAGCCAATTTGATTTTTTTCTGATCGGGCATCATTTTGATGAGTTGCCACTGCCTAATTTGTTGTTTTGAACGAAGATCGTTCAACATACGAACAACTTTGTAGAAAGTATCCATCAATTGATTGGATGGTAGTTGTACGTATGCCTTGGTGTCCATTTGATACTGAGCGACTTTGCTGTTGTAGTCGGTCGCTTGACCAATGTGGAAAACGTGACTCTTGTCAGTCACACGAATGACGCTATTGCTCTTCTTCAGTTTACGTTCGATGGATTGGATTAATTTGACATCTCGTCGAACACGATATTGATCAAGGTACGAGAGGGACGTGGTGTAGCGCTCATTGAAGAGGGCTTCGATATGGCCTGTTATTTGCTTCACATTAATTGATCTAGGTGGAATGCCATGATTATGATGCAGGTAAGTGATCAGCTTGTCATTGATCACATCTAGCTCCATCGTGGTTCTTTTTCGAATTTTCTTCTTGTGATAAAGAAAACTTTGATTGGGCCTGATGTAACTGGGGCCACCTAAATCCAAAGACAATGGATCATGCTATGAAATAATTAAGTGATACCAAGCGTGATTTACCTGTAGACGAAAGAAAAGCGAACTCTTGATGCGTGAACAGACTTCCAGATGTTTCAATGATGGCTTCTGGATAGACGCTGATGGATTGGCTCGCTGACATTGATGATGACGATGACTTGAGATGACGTCGTTGTTTCAATCTCACGCGAAAGCGTGCTTCTTTGTAACGGATGAGACGCATGTACTTTTGAGTTCGATGGTTGAGATACTCTTCGAGACAACTCATTAAATTATCGATGGAATCAGCCGGATGGGACAGGTCATATTCGAATTGAAATAATTCTTTTCGATATTCAAATTCATTCGCTTCAATATTCGATTCATAGTTTTCCAAAATGCTTGCAATCCGTTCTCGTTTCTCATTTCGTGATTTGGTACGATCGTTCTTATCGACACATAGTCGAAGATTCGTCTCACTAATGAAGGCCATTTCTTCTGGAATATTGATTGACGTTAGTAATCTCATGCAGACGATTTGTTCTTCAAAGGTGGTCATTGCCTCGAATATTTCTAACTGTTGTTGACGTAATGTGAAAAGACGATCGATCGATTGCTCCTGAAATCACAATGTTGTGCCGATATGATGAAGACGAATTCTACAAGAGAAGAATCAATCGTCGGCAATGAGATTGTTTTTGGACACGATGAAGACTGTGTTAGCAATGCAGTTGTAAGTTGATCGGATTGTTTCTGTAGAAGATTAATGTGATCATGGAGATATTGTTCAATGAGATCCTATTTATTGGTATTGGCCAGTTGAATGACAGATTCCTTGACGAAAATCAAGCAGATGAATGNTTGTGCCGATATGATGAAGACGAATTCTACAAGAGAAGAATCAATCGTCGGCAATGAGATTGTTTTTGGACACGATGAAGACTGTGTTAGCAATGCAGTTGTAAGTTGATCGGATTGTTTCTGTAGAAGATTAATGTGATCATGGAGATATTGTTCAATGAGATCCTATTTATTGGTATTGGCCAGTTGAATGACAGATTCCTTGACGAAAATCAAGCAGATGAATGATACAGTAAGCAAGGCGAACAAATCTTTGTACTTACCGGCCACATTCGATGCGTTGATTCATCGGAAAGGTATGACTGGTACAGATGGTGATGGATACTGATAAGGAATTATCGATCTAATAGGTTCAGTCTCGTGATGATAAACTGTGTTTCCTTGTTCTTCTTCAGAGGTTGATTGAGCTGCAGACGTAATGCTCTCAGAAGTAACTTCGTTGGAATGCTCAGATATTTGGATTCGCTAAATACAGAAAAATACAGCAATAAAATCTTTAAAGCTTTCTACTCAATTGAAACTAACCACTCGATATATTTTGAGTGATGATTGTGATCAGTAGTTGTCAATGCCACTTTATTTTTCCGTCTTTTTTGCGATGGTTGAGAGATGGAGATTTGGCTGATTGATTTGGTCATATTTTGATCAACTTCTGACATTGAAGAATGTCGTTTGCGTTTGTGTGCCTTCTTGGCTAGCTTTGCTTCGAGACCTTCTTGGCACTTGGCCGTGTTGTTCGTATGACACTTCATTGGCCTTCCGTCTCTTGCATTGACCAGCGCTATGATTTGCTCTTCGGGCATTCCCCGTTCACGGCATTTTTGTTTAAAGTGCTGTAGTTTTCGGTTACCATGACATTTCTTTATTTTCTCTGGTTGAGTGTGGATTGCTTCACTCGTCTCTGGTCGATTCGTAGAGAGTTGACTTCACCAATGACATTGAGCATCGGGATAGATCAGAGGTCATTCTCATTCTTTGTCTGGTACCGGTTAGACGTGTTTGCCGCTACTGCTTCTCCTCCTCCTTCTGCTCTCTGTGCGCGCTCTCCTGCTCGGTTCTCTGCGCAAGATTCGCGCCGGAATAGAACAATCAGTGTGTGAAGACGATGTCTCGCACAAACATGCAATCATCAAACACTAATCAAATGCAAAACGATATCTTCGAGTGTCAAGAGAATGGTCAAAGATACTCCAGTATGGATAATGCTCCGCATCGCACATCTAGTATGATGTCCCATGAGCAACTGCTGGCATATTACAATGCCACAGCACATCTCATTAATGGCTAGCATTTATTTGAGCAATAAAAATACTTAAATGAGCAATAATAAAAACTACAAATGAGCAATAATCTTCGAACAATAATAAATTCTTTTTTGAGCAATTTTATACTATGAAATGAGTAATAATTAATTCATTAATTACCTGTATTAAATTTATTTTTTAGTCATAAGAAAAAGAAAAACTCCAATTTTTATTTCTACATTTGACAATAATAAAGAGAAAAATGAGCAATTAATACACTATTGTAGCAATAAAGCTTTTCTGGCTTTAGATGGCCTTCCTCTTTTTCTTTTGGTACCGATTTCCACATTTTTTGCTTCGGGTGGAGGTTTGCAATATTTTTACCGGATAGACATTCCGATGACGTGCTTGCAAATATAATTTTTAAGAAAGAATGGACAAGTGCAAGTTGATGCTCTCCATTCTTCCGGATTGTTAGATAAGCATAGGCACGATATTTTGAAGTAGACAGACTTGTACGTGTCGAATAGATTAAACCTACAATTTTCATAACGTTTTACTTCTTTCTCTGTAATTGTAGTTTCCTTGCCAGCAGGTATATAGTAAATGGTTTCATCACTTTTTGAAATAGATATAATTTCTTTGTTTAACTTAACCCAGTTGTACCCATCTGCCCAATATGCTAATGTGATTGTAGGTTCATGTTCGAATTTTTTCGCATTGACACGGGTAGGATTTCGTTCTTTCGACCATTTACCAACTACCTCAAATACGATAACTGTGAATCTTGATAATGGTAAACGTTCTCGAATCGTATCTTCATCTTTTACGACCCGGTTTGTCGCCTCGAGGGCATTATTTGTGCTCGGTAAATTCAATTCCAATCCTTCATACCAGCCGCTCTTCGATCCTAACCATTCACTTGAAAAATAATCAAGAAATCTTTCTTCACTCTTCCACTTCTTCAAGAATAATTTCACCGCCATATCAAAGATTGTTTTGTTTTTGGTTTGACTGTTCCACTACTATTCGAAGATTCCAGCTCCATTTCATTGTCATTTTCATCATCAGAGATATATTGCGCTACACGTTGTGATTGAGCCATCTGTATAAATCGATTACCAAGAGAGAATTCAGTCTAATTGATCGCTGTTCAATGTATTATACTTTTTTTCTAAACGGACGCAGTATATATACATGAGCGAATCGTAACTTTTTTGTACAATTGTAATTTTACGATATTTTTCAATAACTTCTGTCATTGCCCACCGGTTTCGAAATTTTTTTTTTTTGTTTTACTCTCTGATGACGGTTCCACTACCACAAAAAAATTCGTTGCGAAATCTAGTCAACCCGCAAAGTTGCATCCATTCAAAGTCGAAAAATCCCATTTTCCGGATTATGTACCATTATACAAATAGATTTTCCAAAGATAGGGCAGAAAGGAAAAAAAAGTAAATAGGCCAGTTTGTAGAACTTTTATTTCTGTATCGATCTATGTTACTCATATTTTCCCGTCCTTAACTTTTTTTAATCATTCTACGTCGAAAATACATTTGCACTCAAAAGTGGCATTTTGTGTAGAGCGACACAAAGCGCTTTCCAGCTCAGCACAGTAGCAAGTTGGAAAATCGAGAGTGGTCTAGAATGAAAGAGCTCGGGACGAGTAACAAAATGGTGTAACTCTAATATACGGTTTTGCATTCTAGGTTTTTGAAAAATGTTCAGACTTTTAAAAAAAATCAGTTTTCACTCAATGTGTAGAGCGACATTCTGCAAATCGAATGGCGAATAACTCCTAGCGAGCACATCGAAATTTTCTGAAACTAATAGCGCGAATAGAGCATAAAAAGTTGCATTAGCACTAAAAATTTTGAGGCTGTCTGATAATTGCTTATGTTAGATTTTACGATGTTCTGCGAAATGTAGAGCGACATTTTTCTCTAAAAAATGTAGAACGACAATTTTTGCTCGATTTTCTCAGAATTCTTTGCTCGCGCCTACGCTTACCATACATCAATAGACTCGTCTGGTCATGGGCAAGCGATTTGTAGTGTTCCTAGGTTCTGGAAAGAAAACTTTATGGAAAAACTTTTTTCCCATTTTTTGTAGGTTTTTTGCGTTTTTTTCCTTATATCAACTGGTAGTTGACTCACCAGATTGCTTGTCTCAAGACGAGTTGAATGGTATGTCATAAGTTTGTTTTGGGCGAGTATTTTGCATAGATTTCGTTGCAATCCTGTCAAGCGCTAGAAACCGACCTTGTTACTGAAATATCTCAGCCAGTTCGCGTCTGGTAGTTGGAAAATTTTGTGTGGGGCCTCAGTGAAGTGTGGGCTACAAAATGTACGACTCAGATTTTTTTTGGGAATACTTTCGTTTTTTTTAAATAACCGTACAAAAAAGTTACGATTAGCTCACATATCCGTTCAAAGGATGGGAAAATTCAAAGATAACAAGGAAAAAACAATCAGAAAGATAAGTGCTTGAAGGTGACGACATTTGGAAAATACCTGGCAAGAGAAGAAAACAAAGAACATATATGTAGATGTCGTGTATACGCCTACTATACGACACGATCGAAAGAAAGAAAAGAAATATCCAACACAAATGAATGACATTGTAGCACCTGGATTTTTATTGCTCCCTACACACACGTTTTATTGCCAGTTTAGATAAATGATTGCTCATTAAGTATTGTTAATGCTCATTCAGTATTATCATTGCTCATTCAGTATTATTATCTCTCATTTAGTATTATTATTTCTCATTCAGTATTAATATTGCTCAGTCAGTATTTTTATTGCCCAAATTTGGTTATTGCTCATTTAAGTATTTTAATTGCTCATTCAAGTATTTTTATTGCTCGTTTAAATAGAAGTCCTCATTAATTACAACAACAACCAGTACTACATGATCAACAATGGTTTATCGGCAACAATGGTCAACAACCTCTCCCTGTTCGCCCGCCTATGGCTCAGAATCAACAACAAGTTTCTCTACCATCACAACACATGATTTTGTCTACAAATATGCCCCCCGCTCGTCGGCAAGTTGATACAGAATACCTTATATCGAAAGAAAAGCAACAGGCATCGCCGATAACATTCCATCCAGCTGTTCGTATTCCAATAGCAGTATCACACGCGATGACTAACCCTACGAGCACGTCTACTCCGACAAAGCGTGGACATGGTGATGTCAGTAGCAATTCTGAGTCACATACCTATAGTCACCAGCAACAACATCAAACGCGTGTTTTTAATGCGAAGAATACCCCGATGAAGCGTCTGCGTGGTAATCCGCAGCAAGGAAACGGTGTTTCTATGCAACCAGCGCAAGATCTTCTAGGTGAATGGAAACAAACAGGCACTGCAGTTGCCGGTAGTCGTAATCGCTATAATGAGCAACAACCATTATCCGATGCTGCGCACCGGTTCGCTACGTCTCGATATCCGTTCTCTCCATTCTCGATTGTCTTCCAGCAGGAAGTGCGCGATAAAAACGTGGTAGATGATCTTATTACACACGCATTGAAAGCCTTTAGTTTCGAACTGAAAACTGTCGCTTACCGCCGTGCTCGTGCTGAAAACAATGAATGCCGCGTCCTAGTATTTGTGGAAAACACAGAATCATTCGCCTTCCTATATGATAAAAGTCACTGGCTACCAATACTTGCTGAACGGGCGTATACAACGAAAACTCCTTCGATCCCTCCACAACTCTCTCTCGTTCTTCCGTCCGTCTCTCTTCAAATCGAGTGGGAAGAATTCGTGGAAGACATCTAAGAAAAATACGTGGATATCGTAAACGTGATCCGTTCAAAAACAAAGCACAGGTTCCGGTGCGCGCTGTTAAACTTGAATTCTGCTCTCCCAAGGCTCGAAATGCCGTATTTCGAAACCTCGAAACGCTTCTGGAGTCATACGAAGAGACATTTTCGGAATAAGTCGGCTTCGTTGCGGGGCTTACTTCTACCAAATGGCGAATCGTTGAAAGAACCATTGGCAATGGCCGAGGTGGCTGCGGACTACTATGAAAGCTTATTTGATGCGCCCACATCCCTACGTTGATGCGCCTGCTATTCACTGGGATAACGCTCATGATCAGATTCCTCCTGTCACGTATCATGAAGTAATAAAGGTTCTCGCAACAAGAAAGAAAAAACGCTCGTGCGACATCCATGGCCTCTCATCATTTCTCCTCGAACAACTGCCTCGAAACTATTAGCATCTCCTCGTCCGTCTATATAATCACTCGTTTGCAACCGGATTTCTTCCGAGGAAGTTCAAAGAAGTACGCATGATTCTGTTAGCAAAGAAAGATGCCATATGCGCTCCAAATCAGACGAGACCGATTTCTCTCCTCGATTCATTCCTTAAAGTACAAGAAAGGCTGTTCCTGAATAGATTTCGGCAAGTATTAGTCGATAGAGGCATTCTACCTGATAACCAATCGGGCTTTCGTGCCGGTTACCGATTGCAAACTCGAGTACTGCTGCTGGTGAAACAAATTTCCTCGTACATGTCCAATAGCTCACCGGTTGCCACCGTGTTTGTTGATTTCAAATCAGCGTTTGACCAACTCTGGTTTGAAGGGTGTGTGGGAAAGTTGGCGCGTATGGGCATTCCACTGTCGTATACAAAATGGATCTACGCGTGGCTAAAGAACCGGCGTGGTGTGGTAGAAATACAGGGTAAACGCTCTCGGTGGTTCGAAATTAGGCGTGGCGGGCCTCAAGGGTCTAGCTTTACTCCAACACTCTTCATCACGTACCACAGCGATATGGCCGAGTTTCTACCGATGTCAATGTCTTTTTTCTTTGCGGATGATCTGGCAGCCGTAAGAGCGGGACAAATTGGAATTCGATTTATGGATCAATGTATCGACTTAGAGCGCAGACTACACTCGTTTTGCGAGCAACTCGAGTTGTACTCGATACTTGCGGTACAACCAATCAACTACCCGAAGACCCAAGCGATGTTCTCTGCTCGAGCTATCAACTACCCGAACCCAATGCCTGTCCTCCGGTGTGGTGATCAGACTATTGAATGGGTCTCGTCCTTCAAATACTTAGGATACTGGTTAACGACCAAGCTGGGGTGGGGAAACGTCATCGGTCGGGCTTGTTTGCGAATCCGCCAACAGACTGCGCATGTCAACTCGATTAAATTTGGTGGAGTATCATCTATAAAACTTCGACGAGTTTTATTCTCAACGTTCGTTCTGCCACTATTTATGTGGATTTTCGCTCTATACCCACTCTTCACCGAAAACCAATGATCACGTCTGAATCATTTTTACAACACGTCATTGAAACGTGTATACCGGTGCCTCTGGTGGGAAGATTTTTTCTTCTCATCTGCGTACAGTGAACGATCGCTCGATGACATATGCTACTCATACTGGGAGAAATACTGCAAGTCGATGGCAACACCATTAGATGGACGTCTACTACTAGAACAGTCCTGCTTGAATACGCACAGAAGTCAATGGATATGGGAATTCGATGTCTGAATAGATCAAAGCGTTTTGTTACACATACGGATGTCTTCGGTAGTGCCACAAAATGGATGGTCTCGCACGAAACCAACGATTCGGGTATACTGATGAATGAAAAAGACTATCAGTGCTTTGCCGCCTGGCCGGAGAGCTTCTGAATCAGTTCGCTTCGCTGATACTACTATTCGTACACTCACCCCAGCTAGCACGTGCACATTCTCTTTCTCTTTCTTCTTTTTTTTATTCTCTTCTCTCGCACACTCTCCTCACTTATCTCTATTCTTTTGTCTTTCTTTTTGGCACCGAGTTAGGAGAAGCTCATCTGTCCCTTTAGGACCTCAAGGTCAGAGGGTAATAAATGCATTACAAAAAAAACAAAAAAAAACTGAATAATCTTCTTCTCTTCTGTGACTAGAGGAGAAGATGGAGAGAAATTGGGAGAGTTCTTAGGTAGAGTATCCGGCCAGTTATCGAAAAATGTAGGCTCGATTCCTGCTCTAATTTTGTGATCTTTCTTGGCGAGTCTTTCGTACTTGGTGAGACATATTTCTTGTGGTTCCGTTCATCAGCGAACATGTTTATCCGTTGACCGACGACATGGTAGTTCAATTTTGAGTTCTTTTACTCGAAAACTCTAACTCACGCTTACGCTCACCCTCATCCCCACACACCCTCAGAGATGAACAGACACGCTACCCAAGAGTCGCAGCAAATAATGAGAACTGAGCGCACAAGCAGTTCAGTTGGCAAGGAAAGAATTATTTTGCTGTTTAACTCTTCAAATCTGAGAAGGAGATTGCCATTTTGTGTAGGAATTATTCGATTTTGAACGAAGAATCAAAAACGACCAGAGTCAACGTTCCAGTACAGAGGAAAAACCAAGAACAGAGACAAATTCAATAAGCTAATATTAACAGGTAACGCACCATACCCTTTCACGCATCAGGATTTATATTTCTTGTGTCTCCAATTCCTATTCAAATGTCATCTCTGAGCATTTCTCTTATCAGCTGGATAACCAATTTTGGCTGAATTGAGACTTTTTTCACCACGGCAAAAGACTTCTTGAGAGTAGGCGAGTGAAATCAAGATTTCGCGGCCCCCCCTTCATGCCATATACAGCTTGGCACAATTCGAGAAAAAAGAAGCGTGAAAAAGAATAGAAGCGATCGAGTTCATTATTTATTATTAGTTGGTAGTTGGCTGAGATTATTTATCTCGCAGAAGATGGCTAGTGAGCGTGACCAGTTCTGTTACATCTACAGGGAGACGCGAGTGTTCGGGCACAAGCACAATAAGTTTATTATTTAGTATTGTCAAAGAACAGGAAATCGTGCAACCTAGACATACCTATCATCAAATGTATAGTCGATTACAGTAGACGAAAACATCAACAGAAATGGATAAGAAGAAAGAAGAGAGTACTTAACAAATTAAATCAACTATATCATAATGAAGCGTCAATAGACTAGACCGAGTTCGCCATTAGAAAGAAGAAGAACCTTTCAAGCGAATCAATTTTCTTGCGGTTACAATAATATCGGTAGATGAAGTTCTGGTCAATATCATTCTCTAACGGAAGAAATACTCATGTTGTCTTTCTTTGAAATGGATGCTTTCCCAAAGTATTATTCTCTATTGATGGTTCATAACACGAAACATTTTAGAATTTTTGCAGACTATTTCTTCGCTTACGTCGAAAAACGCAATATCGTGAAATAACGAGCAACCCAAAAGCGATCCAGCTAATCATAAACACGCCAAAAGACCACATATATATAGCCTGATTTAAGGTCTTGCCCAACTGAGCTGGTATGGCGCGAAAACAGTCACGTGTGCAAGAAATCTTCCATTCAATGTTTGTTTCAACAACAGTTCACAAGGTCAGGCATGTCTTCGTGTCAATTCTTCTCCTCGAGTCCAAATGTATTTTCTTGTCGGATGAGCGCACGTGGCAAGAGAATAACGAGAAAATAATCCGATGTAGTCGCTTATACTACTACTGCTGCCATTCACACGAGAATTTAGCTGTTTCGTTACCATGTAGGTGGAAATGAACAATGTTTGAATTACATCGTCATGGCACGTTTCGAGTGATGGACAAACGTATGGACGTATATGTTGTGGGACAGATTGACATTCACGACAAATTGAAATGTTTTCTCACCCTATTTTGAGTCAATTCACTGAACACGAAGCCCAAAGTGAGGTTGAGGGAACATTACTGATGATCTAGCATTAATCCTAAAACGGTAACCTGTCATTTCTCTGAATTTCAAGCATTTCTTAATGGAATGATATATAACCAGCATTTATTGTTTGATCGCCTCATTCTGTCTTGTGGGGGAACGAGCAACT